ATGAAAAGCGATTAGCACAAAAATTTCCAGAGATCTAAGGATTTATGAGCAATTTGATCTCCTGAACAAAAACCGACATCTGAAGCTGCAGTGTCAGAGCATCATGCCTCAAAAGAGTCCTATACCTAATAAAAAATCTAAATAACAAGAACCTTCTATGGGTTTGGGATAGGTGTTTAGCATCAGAAACAAGAAACTGATACTAGTTATGCAACAAAAATAAGAACCACTCCAGGTTCTCATGAGTCATGGGATGACAAGAAAGCTCCCCGCACTCACTTCAAACACTAGACTTGGTGGCAATAGTGGTGGTTGTTTCAAACTCCATTGGATGAATCATTTGTTAACAGACTTTGGAATCCGCAACCAAAACGAACTTACCTCAACCCTTGTGCCAGATTTCTTCGTGTTGGTTCTAGCAGATGTGTCCATAGCAGAAGAATTAGCAGGCGTCGCAGCAGATCTGGAGTTATTATTGCATGTTGGATTTGGCTGTTGATTTTTAAGATGTTTACTTTGTAAAGGTGTTGATTCCTTCTGCTTCTCATTATCACTTCTGGGTGCACCCAAGTAAGCATCCTGCTACATACAAAAAGCTATATAAGACCCAAATGAATCCTATTAGAAAAAAATTCTAAATTTGGAAATGCTGTCACTTTATAAATCGGGCTCAGCTACAAAATGCTACTTCAGCCTATTCAAGATTTCAATGAATCAATCACAACTTCTTGGTCTCGAGCTAACTGCCTTCAGAGAAATCTCAGCAACGAGAGGAAAGTTGTTATCAGGATAGTTCGGTAGATGATTGCTTAACATGCTACCTTCTTGGAACAGTAAAACTTTCTTCGGTACATAAAAATATTTTCTAAAATTTATGTGTTTGAGCCTACATTTATTCATAGAAGTATCTAAAAGTTGCATACTTATGAAATAATTAAAGCACAAATAGAATAGTTTTCTATGAAAAGATAAAGATAACATTTTAAAATTTTCTAACTTTATCATCATTTTCACTATCACTCTCTTAATTGTTTACTAACTTATATGGTTTGCAATGAAAGTATGTATAAAGCTAGAAAATAAAATTAGAAAATGTTTTTATGGATCAAATAGAGCCCGAGACCCTTAAAGAAACAAACCCTAAAACAATCAAGAATGATAGAAAACCTACCAGAGCAGAAAACATTTATACACCTGCACTTGCAGGAGTCAAGAAAGTGAATGAGAAACTAAGTTACAGGCCAAGTTAGTCAACAGGATCTAGACCCACATTTACACAAACCTATCTTGTACACAATAACTTTGTATCAGCAAAAGAAGATGAACATTGGAAAATGAAAAAGTTCAAGCCAAGCAACTAATATACTAGAACATTGTACACCCAAGGTGGAAGCTGCCAAGTTCAGAATCTAAAACCTTGTACAGGAAATTCCAAAATGTGTCCACTTCACATATGTACTAGAGATTATGTAGAGACTATTCTTCTATAAAATGCCTCCGATTACAATGTTTACCTTGCTCTTTGACCTTTCAAAATCACTAGGCACAGCAGCTGCTTCAGTATCTTTTTGTTTTTCCTCCCTGCACCAGAAACAAAATATGCAAGCAAATTGATTAATAAATTAAAGAGAGGACAATCCCAGTCCACCACATACAAAAATATATTCTGGATAACTCTTAGGGAGTCAAGAGTTAAAATAAACAGAGAACTCTACATGAAGATAGCAAGGTAAGAAAGGTTCTATGAGAGGGAACCATAATAAGTGAAGCAATCCTCACAAAAATATAAGAAAAATACTTGAACAAGCATCTAGGAGTAATCCTCTACATGAGAAAAACCAGGTGAAAAAGAGTTTACAGCTTTGTGTGATCTGAAGTCTGTTGGGGTTCACTGCATGAATCATGCATGGAACTCAAGTTTTCATCCGATTGATCAAGTTTCCCTCCGAGATCATTGATCTTCTGTTCCAACTTGGTGATTTCCACCTCTGTCTTTGCAATTTCCTGAAGTTCTGCCTTTGTCTTTAGAACAAGAAAGTTAGGAACTTGACAGAGAATCATAAATAATATGCCAAGCAAATTAAGGTACACTAACCTCTTCATCAATTGTAAGCGGATAAGATGACATATCCTGTGACATGTTCAGTCCTGCTTCCAATGCTTTCCTCTTATTTCTCTCCCTCTCCAACTGATCCTGTAGTCTTGCCACCTAAGTATAATCAACGTCCAGTGTCAAAACTATAGGAGCTACCATACCCATCATTTCAGGCATGAAATGATAGATAAAGCAAAAACGTGAAGAATATTTCGTTGCTTGTAATTGTAACAAGATACAATGAAATATTTTAGTCAATGGAAAGAAACCAAGTTGTGGTCCACAAAAAGCTCCCCGTGAAGGGCAGGGGTGCACACAACGTGATGATGAATCACTAACTTATCCAACACAGTTTTGTGAGGATTCCTGTGGTCTGGGGCAAAATTTACTATGGGGATATTCTTATAGTTTTGAGATTCTATTCAATTCACTATGTTAAGGGATTATGAGATTTAGTTCCTTAATAGTAAAATTTGGGCGTGACTCAATTGAGTATTTTCTTCATCTCACTTATTCTGCATGTATGATTGGAGTATGTTCACCAGTGATATGTATAGAGAGGCTGCCACAGATAAATTGCAAGGTGTATATTGACTCCATAGATTTGCATGAAGGCTAGCAGTAACTTGAGGAAAGTCAAAGAGGCATACATCCTTTTCAAGAGCTAGTCGTCGCTCATGCAAGGCCTTCTTTCTTCTTTCAAGACTAGCTTGCAAAATTGCATTGCCTTTAACCTATAACACATGCGAAACTTGAATTCAATATTAAGATTTAAGAAGAATTCATAGCAGGCTTCCACAAATAAACATGTTTATTACCTCTTCTACGACTCTGTTTTGCAAGTCACTTTTAGTAGCCTCGAGTCTCAGGATTTCAACTCTGTCAATGAGCCAAAGATCAGATATGTAGGGCACAAAATAAGCCTATGTTACCTAGATCAAACAGCCTTAGGCCCCAGGATTTCTATAACAAGTTATAACATTTTTTCCGCATCTTGGAGCTTTGCCAATAGCCACCATCTTAATAAATCAAAATCTTTTCAAATGATCCTAAGCTTTGCTAATAGCCACCAATATTGGAATTGAAGTGTCACCGTAATCCAAGTACATTGAAGTGTCATCATAAATGGAAAGAATTTTTAGTATGAAATGCAGTTTTTATCCACAAATGTTTTTAAAAAATTAATATCTAATACAACTGAAAAGAGAGAACTGCAATTAAACAAGAGAGAGAGAGAGAGAGAGAGAGGAGAAAGATCCAAATTGTTTCAGAAAGTTCCTAATTTGACTAGCCTGGAAACTAATAAACAGGAAACAACTGCAAACAATTTTTAAAATAGTGAAGTTCATAATCAGTGCTCCCGTATGGAAAAAGGGAAGGCAAGAAAATGGGTTAAAATAATGCAAATAGTTGTTTATATGAAAATGCTGATAGTTTCGTGTATGCAAAATACACTCTTATGACACAATGGTAAATAAGTTCCACATGTATTACATATTGATACCAATTGTAGTTAATTGAAAAGTCAAACACGTGGACTTCCATCAGCATCTAGATAGTAGACAACAATAAAACAACTGCAGTGGATAAAAAGAACAAATAGATATGAGAATTGCTCTAAAGAGATGACATGGAGTACTTACTCATCTTCTTCAATAGGGTAATCGATGGATTCCATTGAAAGATTTTTCTTTGCCTGGAAAATCATGCCAATGAAGAAACACTCCTTAATGTTACGACAAAACTAAGAATATAACACGATAAAGTGGGCCTAAAAATTACATGTGAAAATCCCAAGCCCTGTTGTTGGGAGTTCAAATTAAAACACAATGAAACTTCATCTTGGAGAAAAATAAAAAAATGACCAATAAAGAAATCAAAAAGCATATAGCCAAATAATATCCTTAGAGTATATACTCACAGAGGTACGTCCCCACTGCCTAACATGGTGCCCAGGTCCATTTGATATAGTGGATGATTTTTGAATGGATGATATCGGAGGACTGGTTAATTTATGCTCCGTATTTGTCTCAGCAGAACATTCTGTTGACAGTTGCGCTTCTGAACTAGTCTTTTCAGTTGGAATATTCTCACTTGGTTTTACATCATTATGCCGAGGCACTGAAGTTCGACGTGAACTTGATGATAATGTCTTTCTGACGTTAAGATCATTATTTACTTTAACATCAGAATCCTGCACGAATATTTGGATACAAAACCACAAGTTCTTACATTTATATTAAATAAGAAATTACCAAAAGTTAATAGAAAGTAAATAAGCTGCAGATTGAGAGCACAGTACAACAATAAATTACAGCAGTTAAATAGTGATAAAGGTATATATTAGGAGAGTAGTGTCACAACCTGGGCTCAGGATAAGAAGGATGAGCATGAGGGCAGATTAAACAAAACCTTACTGGTGTATAAACGTGCAAGAGTAATCTGATATGGCTTGTTGTCCAGGTTTGAGAGAGAAATAAAATGATTTGTCTGACACAGAATTTAGTTATGGATTTCCTTCCCTGGTATAACCATTTTATTATGTTGAAATTTTCTAGCCGGAGTTCTGGGTAGAGGAATACATTAGCTATGTAACCTGATTCTCAGGTGATGAATTTTCAGCAGCTCTTGCCAAATTGCCTTCGTCTCTATTCTTCTCAATACCTTCTTTTTTCTCTCTTAACTCCCTTATTTATCTCATTCTAACTCTCACAGCCTAAACTGTTATTGAAGTACATGTCAAAGGCTCCTGACAGAAAACAAAAGGCTGAAATCCTCCGAGACAAGTTTGGGATTGCTTCTTCCAGAATATAATGTGGAAACATTGACCAACAGGAAAATCAAATAGGAGTTGTCTGGTCACTGTGGTCGAACTGCATTTTTTAGACTGAAAAGGATGAATTCCTTGAGAGAACAAACCTTGGAGGCGCAGTGGGGAAGGATTGATAATGGACTTAAACATTCAATATTTTATGGACCAAAGGTTATAAAAGATCATACTCAAAGGACTTCCAACTTTAAAGTAAAAGCACTGACATTGGGAATCAGATGGAAGGTAGAAGTAAAAACAGAAGGTACAAGGGCTTTATCCACACATTATTTCTGCAGTAAAAATAAAAATAAGGTAGGAGTAACTGATATAAAACAGATACTTTATCCCAAACAATAGGTATGCTTTGGAAGAGAATCACCATTTCATGATGCACTGAATTTTATTGCTTCTGAATACCTACTTTGCCTCACGAATATGTTGATTCAAGATTCTGGATACAATTTTGATACGAGATTCAAATATCTGAGACTTTGTAGAGTGAAATCCTTAACTCCTACCAAATAAATTCAAAAACAAGAGCATCTAAATGCAGAATTAAAGCCAGGTCTAACAATCTAGGGTTACCAAGATATCTATCCCGGAAATCAAAAGGACGCGTGCATTAGTAGTGCAAAAGCTATATGACCATATTTGATGTGTATAAAGTACAAGTTTGATAGGCATGAAGTATATGTTCATGCAAAAAAGTACAGGGATGCACCTTATGATAATTCAGATCATCATCCCCAGATTCACCACTTTCACTGCCTGTTTCACTTGATGCATTTTCATGATCATCCTCAGTATATGCCTCAGATTCCTGTGTTCCATCATCATTTTCATCGTCTTCATAGTAGTCATCATCATCAGTTGCCTCTTCACTCTCACTTCCACTCTCTTCTGTGTCTGAGTACAAGTCAGCAGTCAAGGTGGAACCCTCCTGCAGACATGGACCAATTAATGGAGCTCAAAATCAAACAGAATGCACTAGTCCAGGGTGAGGTATACATGGATAAATTAGAGCAAATAAGAAATTTGAAGATTTCCTTGGACATCTGTCTGGCCATGGTCTGATTACAGCCACCACTCTTCAGCCATGCCACAGCCATTGTCTAGCCAGTAAAACCCTTATTTTCTACTTTATTTAATTGGCTTTAATTGTCCTAAAACCTAAATTATGCTGGAGGTTATGTCTGGCACAAATTCCCACATAGAAAATTCTGCACAAACTAAAAGAAAATTCCAGCAAATTTAGATTGCCTATCATTTCAATGGAAAAAACTACTAGAACTAGTCGCAATTGATTCGGACCATTCTAAAAGGAAAAAGAAAAATCGGTCACATTCTCAGCACTGGACTGGAACCAGGAACCTAAACTTTGATGTATGGGATGAGAGGATTCAATGATAACGGTTTGGCTCTGAAACTCAATGACACCAGAGATGAGCAATACTGTAATGTTTTTACCCAATGCGAAAAAATATGAGATTCACTCAAAGAAACTTATTTCAAGATAAAAAATACAGCCCTAATGAATGATCTGATTATAAAAATTTAGTCAGCTAAATGAGATAAATCAGTCACAAAATATGTCAACCTATCAAAAAATTGGTGACAAGAGCTTGATCAATCGAAACTAATGAGTTAATCCAAGAGAAGATGTAACAAGTTAATTCATATCAGGTTCTACACGGTAGATTACATTGTCGGATGAGTCAAATTGTCAAAGAAGAGACAAAGAAGAAGGATCTCTACTTTGCAACAGTTATCAGCATATTAAAGACAGATCTTTTTGTTTTCTTGGTAACACCTTATAAATATTTACTTGATGTCCTGATTAAGAAAAAAACACCTTGCATACAAAGATCCAGAGAATGAGGGATGATAAGAAGCCATTTTAAAAGAAACTCTAGATAAGGAAGAAAAGTTATCAAATACCCCAAATATGCTATCGTACTCCTCCAATAATGTTATAACAATGGCTTGAGCATGATTGGCTGCAGCCGCTGCTTGGAGAAGTTGAACAGAACCATCGCCACCCACATCAAAATCGTTTTCAATCTCACAATCACCAGCTAGGAGAGGACGTAAAAGTAAGGGTGCCATGCAAGCTGCCACAGCTGAAGAGCTCATTCGATTCTCAGCTTTGTGTGAAGCCACAGTTTGCATCATCATAAGAATTCTGAGGAGAAAGAAACAAAAAGAGAAAATATTATAGAAATGGATAAAAGCTAGATCATTGAAAGAAAACAATACTGTAATGAGGGAGAAAATAGAAATCAATGCCCAAAATAATTTCTCAACCAAATAGCTACAACAGACCCTAATAAAAATTTCCTCTTCCTCAGATAAAATAACAGGAAAAAGAAAGTTATAATTAAATTTTCTATCAACAATTTTATCCACTTCAATCCTTTTTTTTCTTTTTGTTTTTCTATTTCTATTCTTTAAAAAAATATTCTCCACTTCCACCAATCTTCTGAGAAGAAAATTTTTATCGAAATTTTTCATACATCCATATAACAAGAATAAGTGAAGTTTTATTACTATTATTATTATTATTTTGAAATAGAATAAGTGAAGTTTTATGAAAATCTAGAGGATAAATGGCATAAAATGGCAGCAACGTTTCCACAGGGAATATAAAAACTGAAGGAGAAGATAACCTAAAAACAAGAGAAGATAAATCTAGTTTCATAATTTACTAGACCCAAAAGAAGTATAAGCACAAGGAAACTAAAGTTTGAGTAACCTAGCAATTACCTTTGCAATAGACGACGATTTGGCTCAGGAAATGTTTCACATATTGCCATACGAATAGCACTGAGTCTACCACTTCGCTCAGTTCCTGATCATTGTGTAATTTTCCAATAAAGGAAAAGGAAAACATGAGAAAGACCAAATTATCTAAGAAGATGATTATCTTACAAGAAGAGAAGCTATAGAGCATTCCCCATTTAGTAGCTTCCACTGCATAAGTAAAGTGAAATACAGACGCAGACTTAAAAAATATCCAAAAATCCAACTTTCATTACTTGAAGGGTAAAATCCCATATAAAGCTCAGAACCGAAAAAGCAGGGCATGTCATTAAATTAGTAAGAAGTTCACTTTGTGTTATATCTTCTAGTTCTTAACAATCCCAACCCACAAACATAATCAAACTGGAAATTCTTTGCCACCTTAAACGCATCAAAGTTAAATTAAAAAGCCAACTCAATTAATTTGCCAGACATCATCAAACCCAGTGCAATATCCTGATACAAAGTAATAAGGCTGTTTATATACCAAACCATAACCTTGGAATGGGCAACAGCAAGATCAGCTGCAAATATAAAATAAATGGTTATATTTCACTCATTTCTATTCAGATATTATTTCCACCAATATACTTAGGTTGTATATGCTAGGCATAGTTGATTCAAAGAGCAGCTCAGAAACAGATGAATATGATAAAAGAACTTCAACAAGAAACTTACTACAAGCTTCAAGAAGTGCCTTGCAGCAAGATGCAGGGACTGGAGATGATGGCAACTCCCGGATGACATACTGGAAAAATCCATTGAAGTATAAAAGATATTGCTTTCAGGACATAACAAAGTTTATGCAAAAATTTGTCTCGTCAGTAACGGAAGATACCTTCACACAATCAGCAATTACATGTGGATCCTCCTCTGGTGAAAATTCCGTTTTTCCTGAATTAGAGAATATCGGTAAAGAACTTTTAGAACATTTTCGGTTGACATTGAAAAGAGTGCTTCTATACTGTAAGAATCATGAAATTTCAGCAACCAAAATTGAAAAGAAAGAATGCTTGATAAATTCCCTTCTTAAACCTAGTTTTCAAAGATGTACAACAATCTTGTAATGACAACAAGAAACATTTTTGTGTTTTTGACAGTTTCCTCAAACTCAGTAGCGACTGAAAATTAATTTTGACTGTCTAAAATATAAATTGTTCCTAGAAGAACCAATAGCCATATGTACCCAGAAAACATAAAACTAAAATTAGTTATTCGAAGATACAGTATATATGAATAAACCTTGCTCATACTCCCGAATTCTGCGTTCAACATCATCAACATCTGCAGCTTGCCTTAAAATTCCTTCTACTTTGATTCCTGTGATATCACTTGCCTTGATCAGACTTCATTAATGAAAGAAATGGAAAATATCTCTGCTATAAACTAGTAATGCCCCTACTGGGAGCTTCATAGAGAAGAGTTGGCTCAGTATCACCCATTAAAGCATCTCTTTAAGCCTAAGAAGCTTAAATGATATACTAAAACAAGTTTGACCATCCACAACTGACAATCATCTTAGTCACACAGCTAGGAAAGCAAAACAAGATGAATGTTACTTTCTTTCTAGTTCTTGTCACAAGAAGGTCTAAGGCCTAGAGCCTACATACAAACAAGACATGCTCTAGCATTTGTCTAAAAAGATTTCTTTGAGAGATCCTGAAAAGATTTTCTTTAAAAGGATAGCTGACACCCAATAATTTAAAGAGAGACTAAAGGCCTTTATCAAGTATTGTTTTCTTTATTGAAACAAACAAACCTAATGGAGACAAAATATGCCTATGATATAGACCTGAAATGCGTAAGTTCAACGTACTGCAGCAACCAAATATATCTGGTTTTCTATATATCACAGACCTACCTCTGATGGGCCTCCTAAGTTCGTGCAATAATTCTTTTCCAGTTTGCCCCCAAAACTAATGAATAAACTGAATAAATGAGAAATATTTCATGGTCTGACATGTCAGCACATTGTTTAGCTAAGAATGTTTACAAAAATCTCCTTGTGATAAATTATATTCTGTTTATCATAGTATCCAACCTTCCACCAAGGTCAGAATGATACTGTAACAGCTTCTAAAGTACCATAACGTTCAGGTACACGTAACATCAGCATTCAGGAATTCTATTGCGAGAATTAGATTAAGATATCTGCAGAAGGAAAATAGAAGATGTCTTTGATAATGTTACTAATCTCGTTTAGTGTTTTTTTTAAAATATAAGTGTGAATGATATATTAATCTTGTTTAGTGGATTAGCTTGTAAAAGTATAGTTGAAATAAGATTGCAGAAGCTAATAGAGAAGAGAACTCACCATGCTCTTCTATAAATCTAAGCGCTTTCTCCAAAAAAGATGGAGCTCCATCAACATCCTCCAAAGCAAGTAAAACCGGCGTGCCAATAATTGTAGCTCTCACAGACACCTTATCAGATGCTAGAAAGAATACAGAATCATATCAATATCTCAACAAATAGAAGATGGAACCAAAGCATCTTAAAATTCCATAAACCAATACCCCAAAAGCTAATCCATTAAGTAACAGTTATAACTAACATACTTAATAAAATAACCCATGATTGACACCAAATACCCAAAAAGAAGATGATGGAATAAGGCAACAAGAGGAATATAACACTATTAGACATGTTACCCAGTCTATAGGCTAGTTTGGACATGTTACATTTAAATGAGACTTTATTTCCCAACATACCAATTCAAAAGCTGTTTAGTGGTTATTGTTATACTTATTCTAGAAACTTAGAGATACAGAGAGTATGCACCATTTCCACAAAATGGAGGAATGAAACAAAAAACATCCCTGAGTGCTAGGAAAAACATACACTTCTCTGAAGAGCCATTAGCTGCATCAGCCTGATCATTCCTTAAGATACCATTCTGACCCATCGCATGGGAAGCACTTGGTGCCTGTGATAAAGCATTCTCAAGAGCAGTTTTCCATTCATATAAATCCTCCAAAGTTTCAGCCTGCAGAACCAGTAGAAATAACCATATTAATAAAGAAAATGCGAGACTAGAATTTTTGGGAAAAAACTAGAAGGTACTAATTTCTGTAACTTTTGAACAAGCTACCACTAACAAGAAAATTATTTCCATATGTGCAGTCTCTTTCCCACAAGCCTCTTTGATGAAAGTAACTGCAGTTTTGCTAATCTCATTCCACTAGGTTCAGACATTATATAATCAAACTAGCATTTTTTGAGGCCAACATACTAAAACTAACTTCATTTGCTTTAAGACTGAATGAATTTCCAAGCTTGGGCATGTTACGGTATAGCTGAGCTTGCTGGTGCTGATTCTGATCTTATTTGCAACAACATTTCTATTTAGTAGGATTCTTAAACTAGTTTTTGATAAATAAAATTGTAGACATAAATCTAAATACCTACTTTATGCAGAACAATAAAATCAGCACTGAGATAAGAAAGGGGAATAATCAAGGAGGGAACTTCAACCATTCATTTAGAAATGCTTTTTGGTTTGAATGCTTCGTATGCCTGCTTACCAACCTATGTAATTAGAAATGCACGACTGAACTTCCATCCTCAGTTTTATACACAATAAGATTTTTGGTCCAGCATTTCTAATTGCTTTTTGTGTAAACAAGCAAACAGAAGATATGGTGCTGCATATAGGTTCCATGGGCTTCAGATAATTTACCCTTAATCATAGTTAATGTTAGTAATCCAAATTTACAGGTTGTTGGAGGATCAAATTATTGCGAAGGACAGGTGCAGAAAACTTATATTATGGGAGCAATTAATGGAGTAGGAGATTATTATCCAGTGATTTATTTCATATGTGAATACTTTTTTTAAGTTATAAATTTCCAATAGAAAACAAACTCAACGAAAACGTAAGTGGCTTCAACCATTTTGTGGTTGATTATTTAACTCTTTCTTCTTGCACAACCATTTTGTGGGGCAAACTAATAATCCAATTAAAAAAACTCCACTCTATGAGATAATTTTTCTTGGCCTACAAAGAAAACTGCCCGCTATTGAAGCTCCTTCCATGATTATAAGTAAATGTAGAAACCGCATAAAATTCTGTGTGTTCTTTCTATTTGTCCCTTTTACTTGGTCGTGTTGCATGAGTATGTTCCCTTCATCCACCTTTCCCAGTCCTTGTTATGACGAGAAGGAATACAGAGAAGGGGGGAGAGAGAGAGTCTGAAAGCATATTCAATTAGGAAAATAGTGAAGAAATTATGAAGCTATTTTGAGATGAGTTTTTCCTCTATTTTCTGCTTACTTTTTCCAGCTCCAAGGGAGCATATTTATACACAAAATGAATAACAACTTTTCTGCAGGAAAGCCAGATTTTGTGGGTTAAGGGAATATTCAGAATTGGTGAAGGTGACACACCACCAATCTGTTATTCTCCTTTCTACGGTACACAAGAAATGACAAAGGAGATGACAACTGTTTTCCTTCTAGAATAACAACTATTTTCTACATTTTTTACAAATAGAATGTGAATGTAGAGCAGGAAAAAGAAAAAGAAGCTGAGGAAGGCACCTTGAGTGTGAAGGCTCGACCATCACGACCATCAGGAAAAAGCACTGTCAAGAGCTTTTTATCTGCCTTGACAACCACACTGGAAATCATCCAAAAATAGTTCAAGATTAGTAAACTCCAAATTCCTTCATGAAACTATGAAAAGAAAGCTATAGCATGCAAAAAGCAAGCCAACCTGCCTGAATTGTTGAGGTCAATACCACCCAGGGTCAAGTTCACTTCATTGCCCTTCTGCGGAATAGCACTCTGAAAAATAAAGCAACAGAAGAATCATTGAAGGAAAATAAAGAGGAGAGGGGAAAACTTCTATCATTATAATAAAAATAAGCACTGTAAATGGATTAAGTACCAGTAACAATCAAGATCTTTGTATTTTCACTTTACCTTATAAATCAGAGTATTCTACAAACACCAAAATCCATGCATCAATAGTGTTACAGCTACTTATTTTTTGTTTTAGTTTGATCACAATTTTCTAAAATAAAGATCCCCTAGAATCATCTTCATTTCTCTTTAGGGAAATTCTTTTTGGTAGTGATAACAGCAGCATTCAACCCTCAACATAAAGCTTCAAGATGGGAGCACATGCCACTATAGCCTCTTTGAAGACATTAAATCAATTACACGTATATTGCTGTGATCTTTTACATTTAAGTTCACTCACTTGAAAGAACAATGAACAAACAAGCAAATCTGTATACATGCTAAATTAGAAGAAAAATAGCTTTCTCAATGCTGATATAAGGGTTAGCAACATTTTTTACACCCAAACTCCCAGGAAAAAGTGAAATTCTACTACGAAATCTTCTCTATTAACCCATAACTACTGCTGGTATATCAAAAATCTCTATTAGATAATAGAAAAGAAAATAGTAAATGGCGAATACAATTACGAAAATGTCAAATGGCTGATGCAATAAGAAACATACAGGATTAGAACTTGTACATTTGCACAAAGAGAAATAGATTTTTGTCCCAACATGATGGTAAGGCAATGTTAACAGAATGACTCCAAGAGCGCAAACCAAACATTCTAAGCATGAAGGAAATATCCATGCTAGTAACACCCTTCTTTCTTTTATCAAGAAAAATAATAATAAAAGATTTGGCTTCCCTCATAGCATCCACTAATGAAAAGATCTTAACTTCCATTCATTTCTCCTCAACATAACTTTAGCAACCATCCAAATCCAAGAAGCAATAAATGAATTAATATTTTAACTTCCCTCATGGTATTCACAGACGAAAAGATCTAAAGTGCCAATCATTTCTCCATCAATATAACTTTTAAATAAAGTCTTCATCAAATATTTACTCATA